GAGGGAAGGAGGGAAGGAGGGAAGGAGGGAAGAAGAAATACTGGTCAGAGCCCGGTATCTTTCAGTAGAAAGGGGCTTTGAAGCACATGACCTTAGGCAAATCACATAATCTGGAATGAACTCCTTACTTACAAAAAAGGAGTCTGACCAGCCTGGCTGGCTTGTTGGAAGACTATGTCTATTAGGGCTGCAGACTGGGTAAAGAATGTTTTTGAGTGGACTGGAGAGATGGCTCAGAGGCTAAGAGCAAGTAGTGCTCTTCCAGAGGCCCCAAGTTCATCTCCCAGCAGCCACATCAGGAGCCCCAGCTCCAAGACACCCAACACCCTATTCTGGCCTATGTGGGCACTGATATGCATATACATATATAAAAAGCAATCTTTATTTTAAAATAACTCGTTTTCTTATAGTTATGGAATTGAAAACTGGGTTCTTCCTAGGGCTCTGGTTTGCACAGATCCTTCTTAGCTGGTTCACTCATGGTTTTCTGTCTCTGTTCCTATGTCTGATATTTTCTTCTTTCTTAGCACCCCAGTCAAGTTAGGTCCTGCTCTTTAAAGATGTCATTTTACCTTAATCATATCTTCCAAGGGCTCTCTTGAAATAGGACTATAATCTGAGGTCCTGGGGACTATGACATCAACATTTCTACTTCCTAGGGAAACAATTCAGTCAATATAGACTACAAGAAAAAACAAAGGCTTTCCAAAGGCTCACATTTTTCCTTTAACATAATAACTCCCACATTGAGACCTTCAGTACAACTCCTGGTTCTACTGCTTGCTCATTATGTGAATTTGTTTTTGCCGGTTTCTTTGAGATAGGGTCTATGGAGCCCAGGCTGGCTTCAAACTCAACAGAACAGTGGCATGTGACTCCCAAGTGCTGGGTTTGCTGGTGTGAGACACAAGCTCCATCATCTATAAACTACAGAGAATCCCTCTCTCCAGTGGGTAATTGTATGGTAAAACGCTAAGTGTGTGTGGGGGTATCTAACAGTATCTGGAAGGAGTGAGTACAATGGGTCTGCTATTGATTTTAAAACTTCCTCCCATCTGTAATAGTTGAGTAATTCTTCATGTTTGCCTTGACAAATAAACTGCAATCTGGGAACTAAATGGATGCTGGAAAAAAATCTGAAATCTCCTGTTTAAACATTTGTTCATTTAGGATGGAGAGATCGCTCAGCAGTTAAGAATACTTGCTCTTCCAGAGAATGATAGTTCAAAAGTCAGCACTACACACACACACACACACACACACACACTAGTTCATGTGCACCACACACATGTAAGGTTCCTACAGACACCAGGTCCCCTAGAACTGGAGTTATAAGCTATATTGAGCTGCCTAATATGGGTACTGGGAATTGAACCCAGTATCCTAACACCTCTAAACACCAAGTGCTCTTAACCACTGTGTCATCTCTCCAGCTCCAAATCTGAGCTGTCAAGAAACACTGGCTGAACAATGCAGCAGAGGTGACAAACTCAACAGCTCCAACAACCTCGTTTCAGACACTACCACAAGCCACATGACACCCACATCGGCAACCCCTCTCCTTTGAAGACTGACCTATGTATGTATTTTTCTTTTCCTTTAAGCCACCTTGTGATAAAATTTCCCTGGTAACACACTACAGGCTTCCCATCCCAGAGAGCATCGTCTAGAAACACAGCAGGCCTGGGAAGCAAATCTACACTCAGAGGGTAAGGAGACGGGAGGGGAACTGAGCAGCAAAGTTCTTTCAGTTGCTGCTTCTGGCTAGGGGTGGTTTTCAAGTTTCAATCACTGGGTTAAAAGGAACCCTGAGACATGAGTACCACCAAGCCCCCAGTGACCCCAGTGGCACTGACAGTCACAGATGTAGCAGACTATTCCAGGTCACACACTGTACTTGTTACCTGTCCATAAAAAAATGATACGTACACACACACACACAGAGAAACTGAGCAGAAGTCAGAAATGTTCATAAACTGACAAGGAGCACCCACCTCTTGACTGTATAATGAACTTACACTGTCTTCTTGTGTGTGTACCTCTTCATGTGCAGTGTTCATGTGTACGGAGGCCAGAAGATAACCTTGGATGCCATTCCTCGAGAGTGGTCCTTTTAACTCTTTTTTAAACAAGGTCTCTCACTTCCAAATGAGCTAGCCTGGCAAGATCCACCTATCTCCACTTCACCTCCACAGAGCTAAGACTTAAAGCACACCACCAAGCAGGACTTTTACACAGGTTCTGAGACCCAAACTCAGCACCACCCACCTTTTTTTTTTTTTTTTTTTTTTTTTTTAGACAGGGTGTCTAGCACGGACTAGCCTCAAACTCAGCTGTGTAACCAATGATGACCTTGAACTCCTCCTGGTCCTCCTGCCTGCGATTCTCAAGTCCTGGGATTACAGATATGTACCAACACACCCTGCCAGTACTTTATTTTTTTCTTTTCTTTTTCTTTTTTTCAACATTCACTCATGGTCCACAGCAAGTAAGCATACTGTATGGGCAGTTCAGTACTAGGCTATGATCTCTGAAATACCTTTTAGTGTAACAGGTATTTTTTTTTTATAACAGCAGGATATTGCTAGAAGGCCTTACCGTATTCCACTCCAAAAAGAGAAAGAAAAAGAAAAAAGAAAACGGAATAAAACCATAGGGTTGGAGGCGGTTTCCCATTCTATCTTACAAGAGAACAAAATGATAGTTGGCTTTCTATCAGACTTTAGTAAAAAATCATGAATCTTCTAGTCCACTCTTTCACCTGGGCTGACTAGCGGCTTCACCAGGCTCCCTCCCTAGACTGCAGCCAAGTCACGGGACTCACAACTAGAAAGCATCCGCACAGACCAACCTGTAGGAGTCGGACCCGGACTCAAACCCAGACTCAAACCCTCGCTTCACTGCCTCACAGTCTCTCGCCACTAGGCTTCACTGAAGCAGTCTCCTCAACTACAGAATGCAGACTAAGGTTGTCTGCCTGAGCTGCACCCCCAGACTGCAGGGAGATTCAGGTGAGAGCTTCCCAGTGTGTGGCAGATGTACACAATGAGATCAATGTGACAAGCCCAGTCTTCAAAGGGCTAACACCCCAGAGAGACCAGAGGTGGTAGAGCAACAAAGATACAGAATACTGACATTCCTCAAATACCATGTTAACCAAACCAGACTTGAAAATATTGCTCTCAAATCTCCCTGCAAAGAATACTTCCATGACTCTCTAGCCCAATTTGTCTCCCAGCACCTGGGACCACAGTGGAACTCAGGAAGGACAAGCAGGAGAGCATACAGCGCCCCCACCCCACCTCCAGCCCCAGCACAGTTCCACTGCAGGGCACTGCCAGCATCAGGCTCAGAAATTAGGACTTGGTGAAAGCTAGAGAAAAGCAAGCACTTCATCTTAACTACGTGAAAAGTACCCTCAAGGGACACAAACAAAATACACTATTCACTCCTATACTTTAGGCAAGAGAAGACCAGAGAATCATAATGTCTTAGCTTTATTGACATTACAGTAGACAGGACAAACACATGCTCTATAAAATATACATTCTTATATGAGAAAATATAAAGGATACCAAGAAATAGCCACACTGAACAACTTGGCTTGTATTTCTCTTTAGAGATGCCTTACACCAGGGCTGTTCAGCCTGAGATCCTCTAGTGGGCGAAAGAAGAGAGGGCAGCAGAGAGTATAAGTCACTCAAGGGTGAAGAGGCCATCTCCAGTAGCCAGGTGATACTTCAAGGGCACTTGGTCACCTGAAGATCAGCTCCTCTTTGAAAACAGTTACAGTTGCTACAAGATCACTTCACATCCAACGACAGGCGCAGATGAGTCAAGATGCTCTTCTCCCTGATTATCAGGACTTGGAGGAAACAATGTGCAGCCTAGAGGGAGAGGATCCAAACCTTAACTTACAGCACACCTACCTCAAGAACACTTGCCTGGGCTTGATTCCTAGGACACCTCCCACCTCCTCACAAACCTGCAAGTGATTCTTGCATTTTCAGATGTCTCAGATGCTCCTAATACATCCTCATGTCTTAGAAACTTGGTACTTCTGTCAGTGAACCAGATAGATGTCCAAAAAGGAATAAAAGAAAAAGAAAATCTAGACTACCTGCTATATATTTAAACCATGTTCAACAAAAAGCTCAAAGTAGGTGGAAGCACACCTCCAAACTGGACTGGGAAAGAGATCTAACAGAAACAAACAGTTCAACTACTCATGGCCCCATTGATTTTATAACCACCTATTAATCTGCAGCACACAACAGTTCAGTTGAGGCTGAAGCTCAGAGGTAGAACACTTGCCTGGTATGCAGGAAGCTATAGGTTTAATCCCTAGGACTGCCAAAAAGGGGTGGGGGGTAAAGAAAGGCCCAAAGATGGAATATATCTCACTTCAGAAACCTGCAGGTTGAATCCCAGCACTGGGGGAAAACAGCCACACTTACCTGTTACTACTCCTTACCCCTATAGTGTGTCAGTGAATATCCAATCATGAGAAAAGGCCATCCTCACACATTTGATAAAACATAAAACTGAACGCTGTAATACCAATCCCACTCCAGCTGGCTCCATAGGCAAGAATAAAAATTAATCAAGTCAGGCATATCTAGAGTCTCCACATTTGAGAGAGAGACAAGAGATTGAGAATTCAAGGCCAGTGAGTACTTAAAAAAAAAAAAGAGAGAGAGAGTAAAGACTTATAATACAACACATACTTAAATTTTTTGTCAATGACATTTGTGTCAGAAGTATAGGGTCAGTTTTTTGGTTTTTGGGTTTTTTTTTTCCAGAAAAATAATGGCATAATTTCATGTTTTTAGCTGTGAACACAGAGAAGATTCCTTTGTTAACTAAGCAGATACTAATCCTGTGGCTAGGAGGATAGAGACCACCTGGTCAAACGTGTAACCAAGTTCTCTAGGGTAAGAATCTGCTGTTGTTGTTTTAGGAGCAAAGGCAGGCTCTTCTCATCTGTAAACCGGTCCTAATCAGTTACTTAAGCAAGCCAGGGATCTGGGAGGGCAGATCAACATTTCACCAACCCTCAGGAGATCAATCTGACATCCCAGCAGACGGGCCACTGCTGGAGTTTGGAGGTGATGTTTTGGACACAGTGTTTCTAGAGGACTAGGTCAGGGTCTGCTTTCCACCCTGACTACCCTAGGCTCGCTCCCTGTGAGAGCACAGAACTCTGACCACAGCAGTGGGATGGCCAGCTATAACTGAGCTGCTGTACACCTCCATCCTGAGCCTCCTGTGAGCAGTAGCTCCGGGACTAAAGACGACTTTTCAATTCAGATGTGAGTTTTTGTTTACTGACACTGTGTAGAAGCAGAACAACTTTTGTTCCTCCCCTGAGCATGTCTTAGACTGTTAAGTCTTGTATTGGCAACGTAACATCAGCTCAAGTTGGAGCGAGCAGCATCACCCTTCATCTAGCTCACAGTTCTCAAAGGCAGCTCTTTACTCAAGTGGCACTATCCTCTTTGGTTCCTGGAGGGAGCTGGAGAGCAGCTTAGAGCAGCTAGTAAACAGTCTCTTTCCATCAGTAAAAATCAGACAGCTAGCAAGAGCAGTGCCGAGAGAGCAGGCTCTTAATTCCTAGTCAGACCAGTAAAAAATTGGAATACAGCCTAAAAAGAAGAGAGCATATAGTCTAAACGGATGAGAAGACTATACATTTTAAATGTTTGAAGTGGAAATGAAGAAAACATGATAGTTTAAATAAAAAGAGAAAGTTTAAAAAGTAAACAGTGCTGCTGTCTAAGGAAGAAAAATGAAGTTTCAAAAAAAGCATGGGAAGAAATGTCAGAAATTCATCTGAACTTTCTGACAAAAAGCTAAAAACTGTGAGTTCGGAACTCTAGATATACACAGTTACTTATAAATAGACAAGCTGAGAGCCATCGAGCAGTAAGCTGGTATCACACTCCGAGGACAGACTGAAAGCATGTGACATTTCATTAGTGTTAACATTCTTTGTTTACATAAAGGTTTTTGCTATCAGAAATTCAGAAAGCTGTTTGGATTAAATAATATTTGTATAAAGAAAGAACCACACTAAATCTACAGAGTACAGGAACTTCTGTGTGATCTACTCCCAAGAGCACACTTCCCTTTTTAATATGCTACATTCATGAAGGAGATTAAAAGCAAAGTAAACATGAAAAGGAACAATCTTTGGTTTCCTTGTCCTCAAAGTATTTTGCTGAAAGAAGGCAGTCCCAAAATAAGTCATCTTCTATGCTCACAGGGCTGTGACAACACTGCTGGGCTCTGGAAGAACAAGACGCTTATGCTGGAACGAGATTATCACCTGGCACTTGTAAAGAGATGGCGAATACGAGATGCATAGAACTTCAGGCATGAAGCAAGCAGTAATTATACCAAGACTGAGTCTATGAGCACACAATCACTAAGTATCTGCCTCTAAACATACACCTGGTAACACACAGTTTTAGAACTTTAAACAGAGTTTACAGATCTCACTACACTAAGTTATGTAAAATCTGTGATCTTGAGAAGCTGTTGCCCATACAGTAATCAGACAGACATTATATATAATTTGGGCATATCAAAAATATTTACACTGTATCCAACACACAAGGTCAAGTAGAAAAATTATTTATAAATGCACATATATTTACAATGACATCACCAGTTATAGAGACAAAAACCCACAAAACACACACACACACTCACTCACACCCACAAGAATACAAAAGCCTTTGATCTGGTACTACCAGTTGGTGAGACTTGGATTTTAGCTGAAGACCTTGAATATCAAAGCCTCAGCCACTCTTCTCTGCTCGACACCACTGGAGAATCCTTGTTACACTTATGAAAGCTCAGAAGATATCTCTGCTCCTTGCTTGGAAGGCAAGTAGAATATCAAAGTAGAGACGCTTTCTCAGGACCATTCTGAGGACTGGAACAATCCAGTAGACTAAGCAGCAATGACTCTTCATGACAGGTAGTGCACACCTGGACACATCCCTGTGGGGATCAGGAAGGACACCTGCCCGTATCGTCTTCTGCCAGGGCTGTGCACTTTCAACATGGTACACACTTCTGCGGTACACTTCTGTCAGCCACTACGTTCTCTTTGCCAGGTGTAAGCCCAAACAAACATCAGGGCTATGCTGATGTGGTGAGATGTAAAGAAGCAAAGAGAAAGGCAAACGCTGACTTTTCTTCTCAACTCTGAGGTAGTAAATTAACTAACTTGAGTCTCTGCTCAGACTTCCTCCTGGACAGGCTTCATGTGCCCTCAGTACCATCTTGAATGTTCCGAGTCCTACTAAAATCAAAAGCATGGTCATGTAACCTATGGCACGACCCAGGTGAAGAACAGTTTGGATCCCTCTCTGGCAGCTGTGGTGACTCAAGGACAGGCTGCTGGGGGAAGGGACGTAGGCCCAGTTCTCTGTTCATGTTCCACAGAGGCCGTGGAAATATTTCTGAGAATGAGAGTAAGACAAGAAATATCATCAGTGATAGCTGGAATCTCAAAATTAATTCCCTAAAGACTAATATGCTTTTCCCCCCAAGTGTATATAGGTGCTTTGTCTGCATGTATGTCTATGTATTGCGTGTGTGTCTGTCTGGTGGCTGAAGAGGCCAGAAAAGGGCACTGGATCTCCTGGAACTGGAGTTACAGATGATTGGGAGCTGCCATGTGGCCGGTGGGAATCAATCCAGGTTCTCTGTAAAAGCAGCAAACGCCCTCTACCCCTCAGCCATCTCACCAGCCCCCGGGGTTCCTTTTAATCCAATCCTCAAAAGAAATTCAGATGCCCAGCATCCTTGATAAAGACACGAAGATCACAATGCCAACATTAAAAACAACATAATAAATCTGGAACCACAAACTACCAGACGTTTATGGTCAACAAACCTAACAAGCTAATTTCCGAAGTCATGCTGCCCATTTTTATCTGTCGTTTTAGCACCTTTTCTCTGCAGAGATTTGTACTGGCTAGTTTTATGTCAACTTGACACAGGCTGAAGTTATCTGAAGGGATCTCAATTAAGAAAATGCCCTAATGAGATTGGGCTGTAACTGCCTCTCACCAGCCGCAGCACCTGAGAGAGCAGGCTGAGAGCACAGGAAAGCTGGCTCCCCAGAGAGGTGGTATGGGTGTGATGCCCTCTCGCACCTTGCCCCTCACCTGCAGCAGGTGGTCCCCTCTGTTGGTCCCCTCACCCTTGTCAACTACGGTAGTTAGAAGAGCTGACCCCAAGGGCATAAGAGTGGAAAAGCTGGCCCTGTATCCTCACTGGCCACAGCACTCAGAAGAGTGGGCCCTGTACCTGGCCTGGGAGACACAGTGGAGCTGGCCCTGATGGCAAAGGCATGGATAAGCCAGTCCCAAATGTGCAAGAGTGGGAGAGCTGACCTGGTCCCTCACAGGCTGTGGCACTTTGGAAGTGTGGGCCCCATGATTTGACTGGGCAGCATAGTGGAGCTGGCCCTGAGAGCATGAGAACAGAACTGACTCTGCCTCCTACCAATGGCAGCACTGAGTGGCCAAGCTGGAGCAGTGCCGAACAGTTTGCCCTGGTGGTCTGGGTGCAGCAGAGCTGTCAGGCTCACCAACTCAGTTACCACCCAGGCCCAGATCTAGGGCTTTGAGCTGGCCTATCCCAAAATCTACTCCATCTATGAATTGCTGAAGCATATGAAAGGGCCAATCCTGCAGATCCAAAGCTGCAGGATCTTCATGCTACAGGGCAATAACCAGGAAGAGATCCATGAGGACTGAATATTGACCGTGTCACAAAAGACAGAGATCTCAAACCCTACCACTAACTCACTGCAAGTGAAGATGTGTGGACAGAGATATACTGTGGGACACACTGTGACATACTTATTATAGCTTCCACAATGAAATGTTTTCTATGCTTTGTTTTTGTTTTGTGGAGGGTGTGTTTTATTTTCAGGGGGAGGTTACAGGAGAGAAGGACAGGTATGAGTGGATGGGGAGATGAGTGGGATTGGAATGCAGGATGTGAAACTTTCAAAGAACTCATAAAAAGTTTAAAAAAAAAAAAAAAGACTGGGCTTTAAGCAAGTCTGTATGGCATTTTTTAAAGTAGTGATTAATAGTGGAGGGCCCAGAGCATTGTGGGTGGGCCTATTCCTGGGCAGATGGTCCTGGGATCTATAAAAAGCAGGCTGAACAAGCCATGAGGAGCAATCAAGAAAGCAGTATCCTCCACGGCCTCTGCATCAGCTCCTGGCTCCAGGTTCCTTCCCTGCATGAGTTCCGTCCTCAGTGTTTTTGATGGTGAACTGTGACATGGAGCTATAAGCAGAGTAAACCCTTGGGGAGGAAGGGTCATGGTGTTTCATCATAGCAATAGAAACCATAACTAAGATAAAAACAAGAATACAAAATTCTAGACTCATGGAAAACGACAGTTTTACAACACATAGATAATATTCATTGTTTCAAAGCAGCTGTTACTTCTTTAAATACATTTTTAAATTTTTTATTTTATGTGTATGGATGTTTTGTCAGTGTGTGTACCACACATGCCTGGTGCTTGTAGAGGTCAGAAGCGGGCATTAGATCTCCAGGAACTTTAGTTACAGACAATTGTGAGCCATCGTATGGGTGCTGGGAACTGAACCTGGGTTCAGGTGTAGTCAAAGCACTGAGCAGATAGAGGCAAAAAGATGAAACATATATGCATGCATGCATGCATGTGCACACACACACACGTAGGAAAGCTATATTTTAGGAAAAGCTAGTCTAATATTCCGGAAACAAAATCCCACAAATGAAAGCAAAATTCACCTAGAATATAAGCTAGGGAATGATCTCTAGACTTAACATGTGTGGGGGGCTGAGGATATGACTTGTAAAAGCAAGAAGATCTGAGTTCTAACTCCCAGCACTCATAAAAAGCCAGGCATGGTCATGTACGACTGTAAGTCCAGCACAGAGGAGCAGTAACAAGAAGATCTCAGAAGCTTGCTAGCCAGTCAGCCTGACTGAAACAGCAACCTCCAGGTTTATGAAATGACTCTGTCTCAACAAACAGGGTGAAAAGCAATAGAGAATGACTCTAGACTTTCTCCTTTAGTCTCCCCATGCACGTGTATGTATGCACGCACAAGAATGCTCCATAAGCACATGCATCCATACGTAACTCACATATAAACAAACCCAACATTTAATATAAGCCACGAGCCGCATGCCCATAATCCCAGCGTTTGCCTGTCATCTCAGCACTTGGAAGGCTGAGGTAGGGGTTATTGTTGAACTTGAGCATGACACTGTCACAAAAAAACCCAAAACATACAAATAATCCTTGGATCTTAATATTTGGATTTATATTCACCAGGTCTAGGGTAGGAACACACCTGCATGTCTAACAAGTTCTAAGGTCATGCTAATACACCCTAGCACACACTGAGTAAATTAATTAGAGTGTCCTAAGTACAGAGTGGACAATGCACCAAGGCATTCTCATTTTAGTGATGATGACTCCTTACTTAAAATGAAGACATCCCACAGGTTACAAGATGTATTGTACCTGAAGTCCTTCATGACACTGAATGTAAAGCTGAGCGACCACCTTCAGTGACAGTGCTCTTTTCAAACCTACTCCTCTCGAAAAATCTCTAGAACTGGTCTCTTACAGAGCACATTTTCAGTTTCGTGTTACATCAGTTATTGCTGCCAGACCCGACCCTGGAAACAACTCTACACTTACCTTCCTCTGTGACCCTGTAATTTTTGCCCTGTTTATTCCCCAATGTTATTCCTCTGAGTAGAAGGGACAGCTGATGAACAGCTTGAGAATAGTTCCCATCACGGTCCAAAAAAGCTTTGTTTTACTGACACAGGTGATATGATGCTGACAGTGTTTGCTTGACAGAAAAGCAACCAAACAAAACATTTTAGGTTTCTCATCCTCTATTTTTAGCACTTCAAGTGTCTATTATGTAAATGAAGGTGGGAGAAGATGTAAGTAAAGACCTCTAGTTGACACTAGTTAACAGCAATTATTTTAGTATACTAATTTGTGTTTCCCGTTACACGCCCATGCTACTGATACAACAGAAGGGCGTATCAGGTGAAAGTGAAACCAAAAGCTCAAAACAGAACAAAAGCACCCATTACCACTGCTCCTCTGTGAGAAGGGAAGGTTCTCACTCATCCTCTCATGGTTGGTGGGAAAGGCAGACTGCTCTCTCTCCGTTGATGGTATCAGATTCTCCAGAGTACCAGCATCTTGGGGAGGATGTGACAAAAATGTCTCCTTGGGCATCTGGACCATGAGGCTGGAGAGTGCCTGATCTAAAACATCCTCCTCAGCAATATAGGTGTATGGACAGTACTCTCTGGTCCTCGAGTAGATGTTAGCATTGTCGTAACAATCTGAACAGATCACCCGGGTACCAGTGCCACCTAGAAACAACATGGAAAGAACCCAGATGTTTTTCTGATAAGGAAGAGTTCTGGAATAATAAACTTTCTTCAACAGTTCTAACATTTACTGCACACTTACTTTACAAACCCGGCGAAATTCCAAGGTCTTTAAGTGAATTAACTCATCTACTCCTTGCAACATCCCTATAGAGTAGATATAATTTTCATCTCCACTTTACAGATAAAGTTGTGACAGGAGGAAGAACTGAAACGCAAATCTAAACATTCTGGCTTCCGAGCCTACACTCCTGAATTCTAATGTTAAATCTCTGTCTAGGCTGGAGAGACTAAATTCCAAGCAAGGGATCCAAGAGAAGCCTGGACCTCTGTCTGAGACACACGCGTGGCTTGAGCAAATTCAAGCAAAACAGGTGTTGCTATGATATGAGAACCCATGTTACTTACTCTTAAGAGTCAAGAAGTTAAGCAACATAGCTGTTGAAACTATCCCTAGTCAAAGCCACTCTGCTGTGCCTGTCACTTTCTACAGAAGTGAAGGTGTGAAGAAAGAAGGGTGTCCTTGTCACTGTATCAGGGGACATTTTATATCCCTCTGAAATTCTCCATTATAGGCTGAAAGTCATTTTGCCCTTTAAACTTTACTAAGTATCTACCTGTCGGCAGGAGAGCCAAATGCCTCTGGATGTCATCTGAAGGATGCTCATCTCTAAAGGAATGAGAAACACTTGAAATGAGTTTCTAGAACATCTCTGGTCATGAGAGAGATCCAGGAGCCTCAGCCATGTCCTTCAGCCCTGTTTAAGGGTAATGTGTTTCTTTCTATAAGATGGCCTTCTTTGGTTAAGACTTTATAGTCGATTTTCATTCCATTTTGCACAAAGTTAAATGTACTGAGTGTTTTATCCTAAAATATTGCTTCAGGCTAATGGGGAAACTATACACTGAACAATAAACCCAATAAAACAGGCTGAAATTATAACTATAAACAGCAAAGTGCCTACCGTCGGTGCCTTTGTGTATGTATCCGTTGGCAGGAGGCATAAGTTGCTGATGACTGCCTGCCTCAGAGTTGCTGTAGCCTTCCTGTGGTTCAGACAATGTTCCTTGGGAAGACAAATAGCTGGGAATGTCTGCAGGCAAATTAAGCTCCTCTGTAAAGAGACATCTGTAACTCTCAAACTCAGGCAGTTGAAGTCAATACACAGAAGACAATTTTATGTTTGATATTGGCCTGGGAAATGGTATGGACTTGGGACCCCAACAGCTCTTTATACTTACCTTAGCATACTTTTTTTTATTAAAATTCTTCTCAGAGTTTCATGTTAGAAGTACTACTTAAGTCTGCTGATACAGCACAATGGTAAAGTACTTGCCTAACATGTATAGGCTGTGCATCAGTCCCCAGAATCACTGGCAAAAGGCTGAAGGTGAGGGGGTTACCAAAAGAAAAAAAAACTAAAGATGAAAATCCTATCTACAACTACATTTCCTCAATCTCTCTGCATGGACTCCTTCTCTTGCGGATCCCAGGATGAGTGGGGCTAAAGACCAACTCACTCACAAGGGTTTGACTCTACAGCAAAACTATGGTGGGAATGAACTTAGGCTTTAAAGAAAGAAGGTGCAAAAAACCAAAAACACCACACAACACAATCCAGCAAGGCATGGCCAACTGAACCTGTAATCCCAGCACAAAAAGGTAGAGGGAGAGGAGGCAGGTTTATGAATTCCAGGCTATCCAGGGCTATACACCGAGATCCTCTTAAGAACATGCTGGGCATAATGGCACACACCTTCAGTGACAGCACTCTGGAGGCAGAGGCAGGTGGATTGCTGACTTTAAGGACAGCTTCATCTACAGACAAGTGCAGACAGCCAGGGGTACATGAAGAAACTCTGTCTCAAAAAACAAAAACAAAAAAAAAAACCAAGAAAATATACCTGTAATATAATTCTAAGAGGTAAACTTAGGGGAAAGTATATACAGTATATACAAATTATTAAAACTATTTCCCCAAACTGGTTCTATTATCACAAGGAAGCTGGATATTTTGTCAGACACCTTCCTAACATCTCTTATCAAGTAATCAATCACGGTAGTCCAGCTTTTTTTATGTTCTACTCAATCCTACATTCCTAAGAACATGCCATGTGTCATCTGGGTACCACCTACCTGTATTTGTGATACTGTAGTCTTCATTTTTCCTTCTCATGTGGTAAATAACAATGACCCAGATCAAAGAAGTGCCCACGACACAGCAGACCACAACAATGATGACAATGCCCACTGTGGTCCAACCATCATCCTCATGCCCAATGCTACTCTGAGAAGAGTCACAATTGGGGGATGAAATGACATTTAAGTAAATATGTCCCCGTTCTGTCCCAAGAGTGTTAGACATAAGGCAGGTATATTTTCCAGCATCTTCTAGCCCAGCATCTACAATGATGAGAAGCTGATTGGCTGCAGCAAAGAAGTGTCGTTCTGTTACTAGAAGTGGCCCATCATCCTTTGTCCAATTGAGGCGAGGAGCAGGACTCCCTCCAGCGATGCACTGCAATACTGCGGTCTCACCTCGGGTGACGGTCTTGTCCTCCAGAGGTCTAATAAATGAGGGTGTCTCTAATGAGAGAAGGTTAGAAATACTAAGTTAGGAAATGTGTGCCCTAAATCCTACAGAATGACACTATGAAAAGTATGATGAAATGTACAGTTTAATGAGAGTTAACAGTTAATGTTTCAGATACACAAAAGACTACTCAAAACCAGAAAAAAATCTAAATGTGAACTGGCTGTGGTGTTACAGGGCTGTAATCCCACCTACTCTACGAGGAGGCCAAAGTAGAAGATTACAAGTTTACAGCCATCTAGGCACCTTAGCAAGTAAGTAAGGCAGAAAAAAAAGAAAGCAGAGCAGGGCAGGACACTAGCTCAGCACAACACTGGCCTGGCATACACAAACAGGGGTACCAGTCAGTGAGTGCTGGGATTACTGCTGTTTCTGAGACAGGTTCTCAACTATATACCCCAAGCTGACCTAGAACTCTTGATCCTTCTGCCTCAGCCTCCAAGTTAAGAAACTTATTTTAAAGGTTTTTGACAGCCAGGTCAGAGTGGCTCACCTATAACACACAAGTTCTCCAGGCCAACCTGGACTATAGAGTGAGAGAGACTCTATCTTAAAAAAAAGAGAGAGAGAGAAGATGAGGATGAGGAAAGAGGAAGATGAAGAATAAGAAAAAGAGGAAAAGAAAGAGGAAAGAAGGAGGCGAAGATGACCCCATAAAACTCCGATATCTAAGAAGACAGAGACCTGGACAACATAATTTGTCTTGGGCTGAGTTACATAAAGAAACATGTTTTAACTAAGAATAACAAGGTACACAGCTATAATCCCAGCACTTGGAAAAGAAGAAGAAGGTGGAGGCAGTTCCAAGTCCAGCCTTTGCTCTATAAGACCCTGTCTCAAAAACCAAAAATGAACAAAACAGAATACGAGCCAGGGAAAATTTCCAAGAAAACACTTCTTTTCTCTTCCAATTTTTAGAGACAGATTCTTGCTGTGTAGTCCCAGCTGACCTGGAACTCACTATTTAAACCTGGCCACTCTCAAACTTAATGTAATCCTCATGTGTGCGTGCGTGGGATTATAGGAGTATGTCATAATGCCCAGCATGGGAAAAGACATTTTTAAAGAATATTAAGATTATGTGGAACATACTGAAAAGAAGATAGAAAATCTAACCAGAAGACAAATCATTTTTGATACTAAATCTTTCTTTAATTAAAGAAAACATAAACTCTCTTAAGTTTTGTATGTAGCTGTATCACATGGTTAGGATTCTTCTAGGAAAAGCAGAATTCCCGATGCAAATTTGCTGAACAGAAAAAAAAAAAAAAAACCACACATACAAATTAAAATGTTACAGAGGAAACATAAAAGAAAAGGGGGATCTGAAGCTTGTGATAAAGATTTATGCCCTGGAAATGTTTCAAGATTTATGTCATTTAACCTACTAATCCCTTCAGCCGACATACCCCTGAACAAAGTAGGAAAATGAGGACAACCACGGAAGCCTGATGGTGGTAGCACATGCCTTTATAATCCCAGCACTCGGAAGCCAGACAGAGTGAGATCACTGAGCTCAGGGCCAGCCTGGTCTACAGAGTGAGTTCCAGGACAGCCAGGGCTGCACAGAGAAACCCTGTTTGGGGGAAGAAAAAAAACACAACCAAAACCTCCGAATTGTTTTTCTTGCCTTTCCAAGTAAGGTGTGGCTCTCAGAGGCTCCAGTAAAGCAGCAATCCTAGCAAGGTGAGCCTACCTAACACTGTGAGCGAGGCGTTTGCTGAGAGGCCCCCTGCTATGTTCTGTGCCATGCAGCTATAGATTCCCATATCTTCTATCTTCACATTGGCAATGAAGAAGACATCATCCTCAGGCATGACATGCATGCGTCTTTCTCGGGCTGCAGGAAAATCAGTACCACCGTCTTTCTGCCAGGAAATCTGAGGTGTAGGGTGCCCCTCTGCAGCACATTCTAATCTCGCCATGGCACCAGTGCGAATAGTCAGATCCATCGGAGTTTTCAAAAATGACGGCATCTCTATTCCAAAAACAGTACAGAGAAAGTAGGCAAAAGGAAAACATACATGCACACAAATCTGATCATCTAGCAGGCAGAATCCTGATGTAAAATGCTCCATTTCTTTGAGAAACCATATCTATGGCCTGACAATGAACCATCTTTCTCACCAGCCATTCAGTGTGTGCCATACAGTAACACAATACTTCTAGAATAATACATGCCATGCCCATTTCACTATGCTAATGAGAAGGAAATCAGCTTGCCAGTGTAGAATTTGGTGTTTAATATTACTCTTTCACTTAGGACCATCAAGTGATGCTTCCCAATCTAACATCAACAGATGTCAACAGAACCCTGTTTTGTTTTTTAATTATGCTTTTAAAAAACCTCATTTAAGAAACATCAGAGTGGGTTGTAGAGCTGAAGAGTTGTCTCTGTGGTTAAGAGCAGGTTACTCTTGTAGGACTCAGGTTCAATTCCCAGCACCCACATGGCAGCTTACAACTGTCCGTTACTTCAGTCCTGGGAGATCCAATGCCCTCTTTAGGCCTTTTAAGTACCAGGCATGCATGTGGTACAGACATACATGAAGGCAAATCACTCATACATGTAAAATATAAAATCTTTAAAAAAAAAGAGTTAGAAATGTAAAAAAAAGAAACACAGGCACAGGGACCACATCCACCCCTCAGTTGAAGCACAAGGGTTTACTCAATCACACAGATAATAGACAGACCAAGCTGCTTTAGAAAAGGTTTTTACAACTACTAGGAGAACTTTATTTTCAAAATGATTTTGGCTATATCCAGAGAGCTATAGAGACCACTAGACCCAGAGATGTCCTAAACAGTGTCAAGTATTAGAGGACACAGTAAACAATATTAGAGAAAGGAAATCATAGATTTCAGAGAATTGTGGTTTTGGAAACTGAGACCATAAAAGAATGTCTTTTGACAAACTGAAATGGAAGTAAAGTTATCTCCCAGGGCAAAAAGAATGTAGGCTAGTGGGCAGGTGGGCAACACACAAGCACCTCCCTTCCATATGCCACAGTCAAGAGAAAGTAACACTAAGAGCGCCATCCAATGTGGGGTATGACCAAATTTTCTTGTCAACTAGTCATAATTGATTTGTAAGCTAGACTTATAATTTAGATGTAAAAACTACTCCAAAGTACTTTTCCCAACAGCATGGCCAGACAGGCATGGCGATTATTCTAGAAATATATAAGTTTAAAAAAAAAAGCATTTTAAAAGTCCAGTAGCACAATTCCTTACCATTTACAGTCAATTTGGCTTTCTGAGAATAATTAGAACCAAAGTGATTAGTAACAATGCACTGATATTTCCCTTCATCTGTGAAGTTCACACTGAAGAGGCGCAAGACACTAGTATATTCCAGAGCTTCTCCATCCTGCTGCCGATAACGAACAAAATTCTCAATATCCACGTCATACAGGATCTCACTGTCTTTGCGCCATACAGTGGACATGGGTGAATCACTGCTACTCACTGCACTGCACATCAGTGTCACATTAACACCTCTCAGTGCAACTGTGCTTTCAGGGTGTGTTCTTATCTGAGGCTTCAGGAAATCATCTAAAGGGAATAAATACAACAGTGGACAAGTCAGCTACATAGTTTACCTCAAATCTGATTTTAAAACAAAGACTGTAACACTGTAAAACATTATATAGTCCTTTCTATATAATACAGAAAATGGGAATATAAACTCAATTCTTTTTTATGGAGAATACTAATAAATGTATGACTTAAAAGTACTTTATACATAGCTTCAACACTAAAATAGTGAAGAATATGAACAGGATACGCCCACACAAGTGAAAACTGTTTTAAGACTGCCTAGTACACTATGGATTCATAAATAAAAACGCTATGGATTGAGAGAGGCTGCTATAGAAATTCTAGAGCAGTATCTTCATTTAGTAATCTTCCTTTGTGCCCTAAAAGGTAATTAAAATAGTATAAAAAATATAGTATGAGCCAGTGTGTAGGATACATCATTAATCTCAGCACTTGGGAAGCAGAGACAAACAGATCTCTGAGTTCCAGGACAACCTGGTCTGGTCTGCATAGTGAATTTTAAGCCAGCTAGGGCTATATAGTGAGTCCCTGTCTCAACAACAGACAGACAAAATATAGTATGCTTTACATAAAACTAAGTGAAAGTCAAAGGGGAATGTGTGACAATGTAAACAGAATTCAATCTATTGTAACGATGATTTAGATATAAAGGAAAATCTTCCAAGTTGAGAAAGAAAATTATAGATTTATTTTTGAAAATAAAAATGTTGGGCTGGAAAGATGTATCAGTGGTTAAGAGCACTGACTACTCTTCCAGAGGTCTGGAGTTCAATTCCCAGCAACCACATGGTGGCTCACAATCAATTGTAATGGGTTCTAATGTCCTCTTCCAGTGTGACTGAAGACAGGGACAGTGTACTCATATACATTAAATAAATAAATAAATAAATAAATAAATAAATCAGAAAGAAGGAAGGAAGGAAGGAGGGAGGGAGGGAGGGAGGGAGGGAG